ACAGGAAATTTTAAGAGAAATTAAAATTCTAGAAGTTTAAAAGAGTAATTTGATTACATAAAATTATACAATTTCAAATTCTACCTAAAAAGTATGATTTGAAAGTATCTGTGTTCTTTTCTCTCTTACATTTATTACTCTCTCTTAATACCCTCTCCTATGTCAACTCCTTTGAGGTTGTTTAAATAATGTGTAAAAGTTATTTAAATTACACCTTCTCTAAGTTTTTATGCAATGCAAATTTAACCAATCGTGGAATTTCATGATATTATCTTAAAGATCATGTATAAAAGTTTTCACACAATTTTAATTTTGGTAAGATCATGTATAAAAGTTTTCACAAAATTTTAATTTTGGTTAAGTATGTTTTTAGTTCTTGATCTTTGATGTGAAATTGGAAGTTGTCCCTGTTCGAAAATTTGATATCTTTTGGTCTTCAAACTTTAAAAATGAATCAATATAATCCTTTGAACCCAATTATGTTAAATTTTTTTGACATATCAAACATGTTTTATGTTAGCATTTAAGTTAGTTACACCGTTTGACAAGATCTTGCTTTAATGTTAGATGAAAAACACGTTTAAGAACTAAAATGTATGAAAATTTCATATATGGACAAATTCCAATTTTGCATCAAAGTTCAAGAACTAAAATCATACTCAACAATTTTAATCGGATATGTTATCCAATAATGAATATTTATATATTTAAGTATTATATTATAGGCTTAATTGCTTACTTGGTCCCTATATTTAGAGGATTTTTTTTCTGTTTAGTATCCGCTTTTAAAAATACCTCTATTTTGTCTTTAAATGATATAAATTGTATCAATCACGTCCCTTCTGTTAAAATGGCAGAAACAGAGTTAACTCCATAGTGACGTGGAGTACTTTTTTTTATCTTTCTTCTACTTTTCCTACCATGCCACCAACTTTTTTTCTCTCTTCTGTATTTTATGACCTTTTTTTTTCTCTCTCCTTACTGAAAACTCACCACCTCTTCCACAACTATTTTCTCTCCCTCCCATTTTATCATCACTGAACTACTCCCCACTCCCATACTCATGTGAATGCTCCCCAACCTTATAACCCACGCAGCATAACTCCCACCCCTCAAGGACTTCCTCACCAAGAACCCAACATGCCCACTCTCAGTTTTCTCTCAATCTTGCACCTGTGTGTCTAGGATATATCTGAATTGAAAAAGAAAAAAAGAAGTTTAAGTCGCAGGGAAAATTCAAGATCTTTGGACCGAAATAAGTTCCCAAAGAAGACTATAAAACCCTATGAAAAGAAAGAGTATATAACCAAAACATTTCAACGTTGAACCAGTAAGTATTTCACTAGAATTGAACCACCATCAATATATTTATATGAACCTGATATTCTCAGAAAATATTGTATTGTTTATGTACAACAAAAAATAAATTTCTCTTATTGATCAAAATTGATCTTGAGTTGAGGGCATCTCATAATACCAATTATGTCTTAAAGAACACTCCCTAAGAATTTTCACAAGAACAAAAATCATGACAATGTCAGGTTATATTAAAAACTCCACCAAAACAGGAAAAAAAATATCAACGATTTGGAGTATTTGGATTATAATTAGAAAAGTTTTAAATTACATTATAGTTTAGATAAAAGTAACCTCTTTTGCCATGATACAGAGAAAGATTAGATTCACACAGAGAATCAAGGAAAAACAAAGTGAAGAAAGAGATAACGATTCATTTTGACTTTATAAAAAAAATCATAGATGTAGTATTTTGAGTGTTGAAAGTAAATATTATTTTTAATATTTAATTATAATTTAAAAAAAATTAAAGTGAAAGTTATTAAGGTGAATTGTATATGTAAATGGTGAAAATGGTGTAGTGATGTGAGTAGGGTGAATTATGAAGGAGACACTGAAGATTTGCATGTAGTGGTACATGCGGTCACCAACCAACCCACACGCCGACAAAGCTCCTCTCTTGATCTCACGACCAAGCATTAGAGAGGGATGTGAGAGTCTCATTGGTGAACGAAAGAGAAAGAAAATGGTGTAGAGGGAGGTGGTGCGGGTTTCTAAGGTCTTGGGGAAATGAAAGAATTGTGGAAGAGGGTGGTGAGTTTTCAGGAGAGAGAAAAAAAAAGAGGTCATAGAGATATACAAGAGAGAGAAAGTTGAAACACACGAGAGAGAAAACAAGTATTGATTTCATAGCCACGTCACCACGGACTTAACTCTGTTTATGCCAATTTAACGAAAGGAACGTGATTAATACAATTTATATAACTTTGGGACAAAATAAAGACACTTTTAAAAACAGGTACTAATCAGAAAAAAACCTCTAAAAGTAGGGATCAAATAAACATTTAAGCCTATATTATATGTTAAAATTAAGTGACGTGATAAATTGGTAAATAATTTGAAATTGTCTATGCATGATATAATTAATTAGAATATGAAATTCAATTGTTGGATTAATTAAATTTGCTTTCCATAAAAATGTTTTCAAAGGTGTAATTTAACTAACTTTTACAGATGGTGTAAAGGGATCTTAACCAATATACGCATATATAAAATATAGAGGAGGGATAAAATGAGACCAGTTTAAGTTACACTCCTGACCTTTTAACAATATGTTAGATAATTAATTTTCTAAACTTAGTTTTGGGTTGAAAGTTACAGATAGCTAGATCGTATCTACAAAAAAATGTATTAGTCTAAAATTATTTGATACTTTATTTATATCTCTCAAAATTGATATAGTTTATAATATATAATTCTTAGCACATCAAGGTAATATGTAATTATGATTCAAGGACAAATTATAAAAGCAAAGAAAAAATACTTTTTATAGCTGGTATTATTTGATCTTTGTCATGTATTATTTNTTAAGCCTATATTATATGTTAAAATTAAGTGACGTGATAAATTGGTAAATAATTTGAAATTGTCTATGCATGATATAATTAATTAGAATATGAAATTCAATTGTTGGATTAATTAAATTTGCTTTCCATAAAAATGTTTTCAAAGGTGTAATTTAACTAACTTTTACAGATGGTGTAAAGGGATCTTAACCAATATACGCATATATAAAATATAGAGGAGGGATAAAATGAGACCAGTTTAAGTTACACTCCTGACCTTTTAACAATATGTTAGATAATTAATTTTCTAAACTTAGTTTTGGGTTGAAAGTTACAGATAGCTAGATCGTATCTACAAAAAAATGTATTAGTCTAAAATTATTTGATACTTTATTTATATCTCTCAAAATTGATATAGTTTATAATATATAATTCTTAGCACATCAAGGTAATATGTAATTATGATTCAAGGACAAATTATAAAAGCAAAGAAAAAATACTTTTTATAGCTGGTATTATTTGATCTTTGTCATGTATTATTTACATACATACACATGCATATATATATATATATATATATATATATATATATTGGATATAGTAGAAATTAAATTACCTTACCCAAATTGAAAATTTGAAGTATTGATTGGAACAAAACATTTTGAAAATATACTGAAAATATACTGAATTATGTTTCTAAGTTGTTTTATGTTTTTCTACATTATTATAAGTTTATATACATTGCATTGATTTATGCTTGAAACTTGATTTATGATTATATTGGATTGATTTATGCTTCTAAGAAATTGATTTATGATTCCATTCAATATATTTATGTTTTAATATAATTTTCATTTACAATATACGTTTCTGCATTATTCTGGACTGTTCTGGCTATAAAAATATATGCAGGTCTGTTTCTATGGTTGGGAATGTTGCAGAAACAGACATCATTTTTAAAAAAACGTACTTATATGTCTCGGTTCAGGTCATAACCGAAGTCGAAAGACCACTTACGGCCTCGGTTATAGTCACACCCGAAGCAGAATGTGTTGCGGATGAGAACAAAAAAAAAAGAGTCTACTGCCTCGGTTCAGGCTACAACCGAGGCAGTAGAGTGGGACTTACTGCATCGGTTAAAGGGAACCGAGGCATAAAGTCCTACGAAAAAAAAAATTAAAAAAACCAAAAACTTTACTGCTTCGGTTAGAGCTGAACCGAGGCCAAATCCTCTCTTTTTATGCCTCCGTTCCCAACCGAGACCAAAAGTATTAGACTTTTTGCCTCGCCTGAATATGCCTCGGTTCAGAAACCGCTGCCTATAGACAAAAATAACCGCTGTCGTTTCCCCTGACTGTACTAGTGTCTGTTTTCCAGTATGAAAATAATGATATTGGCTTGGAGATATAATGATATTGGCTTGGAGATAGGCGCTTATTAATGTTTGAAAGGTGTTATGGTGTTGAGAAATTGAATATTAAAATGTCGAATGGTGTTGAGAAATTGCATATTAAAATGTCGAATTATGTGATTCTATTTGTTAACTAAGTCAAATTACATTTCCTGACTGTTTTTGAACTTGGGCAAAAGCAAAGAGCGCATCAACCCATTCTGTAATTTCGTGCAGTTTGCATACATACACATGTGTGTACATATTTGAGACCTTGTGATTGATTAGTCTGTAAGTAAAGATACCAAGTTTTACCATTTAATGGAACTGCTGGAGAAATTTTCTCTCTGCCCAAACTCTTCAGGCTATTCATTCACTTCGGAAGCAGTTTAGCTTCATCTTGAAAGATGCAGATGCAAGCATGATTAACAAATTGAGTCACAATCAGTCTCTTGTCCGTGCTGTCATTTGTTCTGGACTCTTTCCTGGCATAGCATCAGTGGTGGTCAGTTATTTGTTTCTTATAATTTCTTTTTTTTCTCCATAGTAAATTCCTCACCTGGCTTACTAGTTCAGCTTTTATTGGTTTATTTATTTAGTTAATTCTTCCTCGGTGCAGCACAGGGAGACATCCATGTCATTTAAAACAATGGATGATGGCCAGGTTTTATTATATGCTGTAAGTGACAGACCAATTTCAATTTTTCCTATCATCTTAAATGAATAAATTCATGTTGTGTATAATGGTTGATATTCAATTGAATATCCTTTTAGCAATTGACGAAACTTAGATATATTATGTTACGAGTACTATTGGACTCCGATTAAAATTAAAATTTCATCTTGGTAACTGAGGCCTTCATCTCAGATATTTAAATCGGCAGTAATAATTACTGAGATGAAAAGGAAATTTAATTGGAAAATAATACGAATATTACCTATGGTGTTATATCTAAGTTTTGCCCTTTCTCGATCTAAATTGTTGTTGAGTGTTGCTTTTAAGAAAACATTGTCTTGTTTTTACATTGTACGTCTCCTTCTTGAATGTGGTTTGAGATAAACCCTTCCCTGCCCCTATAGTGTTCTTGTTCTCCTGATGGTTAGTTTTATCATTTTGACCAGAATTCTGTGAATGCACGTTACCAGACCAGACCATCCCATACCCATGGTTGGTTTTTGGTGAGAAAGTTAAGGTCAATGCTGTTTTCATCCGTGATTCCACTGCTGTATCTGATTCAATACTTATCCTTTTTGGTGGTGCTCTAAGTAATGGGATACAGGTGATTAGTTGTTTGATTCACATGCTTCTTCCACTTGACCATCTCTATGGATTTCAATACAGTAATATCATCCTTTCTTTCTTCTCCCCTCTCATGGGTTTAGGCTGGGCATCTAAAAATGTTAGATGGATATGTTGACTTCTTCATGGATCCTAATTTAGCTTACTGCTATTTGAAGCTTAAGGAAGAGCTCAATAAGCTTATCCAGAAGAATGCCTCACAGACTTTACCTTCCTCTTCCAATAGCTAGTTCCCCTTGGGAGGATATTAGTATGAACTTTGTCCTAGGCCTACCAAGAACTCCAAAGGGGTTTGATTGTATCTTTGTGGTGGTTGATCGATTTAGCAAAATGGCTCACTTTATACCCTGCCACAAAGTAGATGATGCTAGATATATATAAAGACTATTCTTTAAAGAAATAGTAAGATTGCATGGCTTACCCAAAACTATAGTGTCTGATAGAGATATTAAGTTCCTTAGCTATTTTTAGAAAACTTTATGGACAAAGCTAGAAACTAAACTTTTATTTTCTACTACGTGTCACCCACCAACTGATGGGTAAACCGATGTAGTAAATAGATCTCTATCTACTTTATTGCAGGTAATGTTAAGAGGTAATCATAAGAATTGGGATGGTCATTTACCTCACATAGAATTTGCTTACAATAGAGTAGTCCACAAGACTACTAATCTTTCTCCATTTGAGATTGTCTATGGTTTTAACCCTATCACACATCTTGATCTACTACCTCTTCCAGAATCTTCTTCTTTTCTACACAAAGGAGTTTCTAAAGTGAAGTTTATCAAGAAATTGCATGAAAAGGTTAAGACACATGTTGAAAAACAAACTCAAAAATATACTGAATAGAACAACAAAGGGAGAACAAAAGTAATTCTTAAAGAAGGTGACCTAGTCTGGCTTCATTTGAGAAAGGATAGATTTCCCTCTCATAAAAAATCCAAACTAAGTCCAAGAGGTGATGGTCCTTTCAAGGTGGTCAAGAAAATAAATGGCAATGCATACATGTTAGACCTTCCTGAAAGTTATGGTGTCAGTCCTACTTTTAACATTTGTGACTTAATTCCTTTCGCAGGCGATGCCCAAGAAGTACAAGCAGATATGAGGATAAATCTTTTTCAAGAGGGAGGGAATGATGGAGGACCATCTAAGATGCACATAGGACCTTTGACAAGTGCCATGGCTAGAAGGATTCAAGAAGAAGAAGGATCACTTACCACTTACTCCTATGAAGAATCACTTATTAATCTTCTTCTCTTTACTAAACACATTTATACTCTTTTGTAGGCCATAAATAAAGGTTGGAGACCATGCCTAATCACCCTAAGAGGCTTGCCAAGCAAATGAAGGAAAAAAGAGAAGAAAATAAGTGATTTTTAGAATAAGCAGCTTAAATTTCGGATTGCATTTTCAAAGGAGGAATAACTTACGGATTGTACCAGGCGCACAACCATTACCATGTTGGTTGAACAACCGGTATCGCGCAACAGAAAGGTTTTGTGGAAAGCGTGTTTAACAGTCAAAAGCCAATAGGGGAGGGGTGAATTGGTTCTTTTAAATATCATGATTTTGTTTTAGGAATTTTATCGAACAATTGGTAAATAAAAGTGTAGAGTAAGAGAAAATCACACAAAGTATTTTATATTGATTCAATTCAAAAGATTCTACATCCAGTTGTTAATCACTATAAACTATGATTACCTTTTTCACTGAAATGTAGTTGTACAAATTAGTATCAGATAATGAAATGATAAAGAATAAAAAACACCTTCCTTCGACAAACGAAAGGAAGGATTAGCTCAATCAAATTGAAGAGAACCGCTTCAACCTTAGACCCAGTAAGTGCAAGCTTCTCCTATTCACAAGACTTGATATGAGCAACACTAACACTTGAGAACTTCGTCAAACAATTTCTGTATTCTTAAATGACTTAGTTAAACCTCTAAGAGGTTTGGTAAATAGTATATATAGCCTAGAGGTTAGAAACTAAAAAAGACAACTCTCAACTGCCAGTGATAATCAATTATCAAAAGTGATAATTGATTATGTGTGTCTGTTATGGGGTTTTCAAAAAATGATAATCAATTATCCTGAGGAATAATTGATTATTTGTGTGACTTGAGAATTACTGATTCAGACTAAAATAATTGATTATTCTTAGCAATAATCGATTATTTGCGGGAGCAACTCTTTTCTAATTAAGCTTGTGATAATCGATTATTACAACAAATAATCGATTATCTGCGCAAACTTTCTTTAGACAGGAAAACTTCTAATAGTTCTTACATCAACAAAGATATTCCTATAGAATTTATTCTACAAAATGCTTTTAAAGTTAATACAACAAGAGTCTTCAAGTTCTTCATCTTGTAGCATCAACAAAACCATAATATATTCAAGACACCAATGCTCCTCATTGGTAACATACCCTCCGCCTCTTAGCCATATCAGACCGGATTTTTTAAATGTGCACGTTTTTACTTGCCTATGACAGAAGCGTACACCCCAAGCATAATAGCGTGTCTAGTACGCTTCCTTTATTATTGTTAGAAGATTTGCAACTCAAAATGGAGACTGCTCTTCATCTATAAAAGAGAGGTTCTTCCCTTTGTAAAATTCAACTTAGAAGATATATTGAAGTGCTATTGAGATTACTCTAGACCTCTTTTCTCTGAGTTCAAACATTTTGTGCTTATTCAACACCTTCTCCTCCAACTTCCTTCCCTTTTGGAAGACTTTCTGAGCTTGAGAGGCTTCAAACACACACCAAACACACATTGAACCTTTCATCAAACACTTGGTGTGCTTATGCGCTTTCATTCATCAAATCAATCCACTGCATCCTTCTGATTCGCGTGGCTGCTCTAGCATGGAGCTTGGAGCTGCTTCCATAACTTGTTGTTGAGAGTTGAGCATGAGTGAGTATTGGGATGTACCTGAGTATGTGATTGATGAGCATGAGAGTGAAGGATAAATCTACTTGTTGTACCTCATAAATCTTGGTTTTATCTGCGGATATGTTCTTTCTTTTGTCTTGTTTGCATTGGAAGAAGATGATATCTAGGGCAGGCTAAAAATGTTATGTAAGGGAGGCTATAGGTGGACTGTAGGAGCGGCTACAGTCGGTGAAGTAGGGTACATAAGTGAGATGAAGTCTTTCCATTATGGTATTATGGTACAATGATGCTCATGGTGTTTTTCATGACTGGGATAATCACGATGGTGGTGTATCTATGATGATGATCAGGGTACTTGAGATGCTTTAGGTTATGTTATGTTGATAGTGGTGTTACTAAAGTGGTTATAGTAAGTAGTTAGCATTGGTGCTAATGAGTGGATAAACCAAGGGTTTATGTGTGAGATGTTAGTGATGACATCAAGGATTAGAGATGAAGGATTGATGATCGAAGTTCAAGGATCGGGGATCGATGATCGAGTAATTCAGTATGATTGAATTGTTTATGTTAGAGGATTATGAATCTTATTGTTATTACTACTATGTATAGGGTGTTTGATTATGGTTAGTATAATTAGAAGATATATCTTATTGTGTGTTTGATTTTGGTTGATATAATCAGTATGTTTGTATCTTGTTGTTATGATTGTTTTATCGATAGATTACCCCATACATGTTTGTGTTTGTGTGTCTGTGAATGAAATTATCGGCGATGATCATTTAATGTGTTATAGTGAGCAGATAATGTTACAGATATTCCAGAGGCGTGATTGAGTCGAAAGAGGATGGGGAATAACTTTGGGATTCATTTAAAGCTATTTTGTTTTACAAGTTAAGACAATATAATTGGAGTATTTCTTTCATTATTTTATTACTCGAAATAATGCAATTATATAAGGTTTTCTTTAAGTAGGTTTCCACGTTATGATAAATTTTGAATTTTACCGAGTTTTACTAATTTGTAACATCTCAAAAATCAGGGTGTTACAAATTTGGCTTGAAAGTATGAATGAATTAATGAAATATTAATAACTTTTAACAATTAAACTCTGAATATTTATTGCTTTTGTACTTAAAAATAAAAGAAAAGATTCACATTGATAACTTTAATTTTTCTAAAATCTTTCAACACGAGAAGGAGGTGAATAAATTATAGGCTGAATATCATTGTTGGTCCCTATTTTCGTTAAGTTTGCTTGATGTGGGACTCATTTTTTTCGAATGTTCAATGTAGTCTCATATATCGTAATTTATGTTCAATTTGGTCCTTTTGGCTGATGACGTTTAAATTGTTAACGACATAGTATCAAGGTCAACCATCAAGAAATGAGTTGTCACACAATAATGCTCATAGTGGTTGACTCACATCATCATCTTCCCCAAATAAAAAACCCTAATTTTTGTAGGTTTTTGTGATTTAACGGAAAACAATACGGGAGTTTTGTTCCTTGCAGATGGTTTTGCGCAATCAATGGAGGTTGAACAAGTTCAATGGTGGTGCGATTTGGGATTTTACAGGTTTTCACGGAAGAGGCGCGGTTTAGTGAATAGGGGTTTCATCTTGAATTGGGTTTTTGCAATTTGGGTTCTGGGATTTTTGGGTTTTTTGCAAGTTCAATGGTTTTGTGATTTTTGGGGTTTCATTTTGCAAGTTCTCGTGAAGTTGGGAAGAAGATCAAGATGGTGAGATGTTGATGGTGGTTCTCATGATGCAAAACTATTTGGGCTCGCGGTTTGGGTCTGATTCATTGTAGTGAAAGGTTTCTTTTGCAGATTGGGTTTCATGGTTGATTCGTGGTGGCTTGTGCAGTTGCTAACGATGAAGCTCATGGTGGTCCGGCATAGTTGAGAAGATGATGGCTTGAGTGTGGTGCACGGCGGCGCGTTGATGAA